CAAAGAATAAGAGTAAATTAAAAACTAAAAGAATGTAAATAATAATTTAGTTGTGCGCACATACACACACACACACACACACACACACACAAATACACACATACAAAACATAATAATATATTAATTACTGCTTAGAATTAATTAGACATAATGACAATTCCAAACATTAATATAAACATTAACATTAAAGAATATTATTTCATTGGTAGTAAGATATAATCAAATGCGAATGATTTTTCGCCACACAGTTTATAATAATTGTATATCATGTAATAATAAAGATTATAATTTCTTTTAATTCATGTTAATTATATGATCAATGAATTCTTATTGAATTTTTGGATCATAATCGCGTATGTAATTGAATCGAATACGAAAATTTTCTTATATTAATTTTATGTATAATTTCATTCGAGCTTTCGTGATAAAAGAAATACTAAAAATACATCCTTCTATCTACATTCTTTTCTACGAAAGAAAATTAATGTGATTGTAATTTATCCTGCCATAATAATCATAAGAAGGAAGCACTTATTAATAATATCCTCTAATAATTCATTTTTTCCTCACATAACTCCTAAGCTGCCTTTATTTTACATACAAGTTTTTAGACTATCGTAATCATCTTTCATAATCTATTAATTTTAAAAGCATCAACCTTCATTGTATCCATGTTCCAGACATTATATATACATATAATGACAAGTGTATGCAACTAATTAGATTATTCTTCCGAATTTTTTATAGTATGTGTACATTTTTTTATGATACATCTTATCTATAAGGCATAATCCCGATTCTTTTCCAAGATTAATATACATATATAAAATACATACAGTAATAATTCCTGTCGAATTTGTTCCCGCGCAATTCGCAAGTGTTATGACACATATTACTGAAATTACATGCATTTACTGTTTGTTTCTGTTTTTATTTTCTAAAATAATAATAGGGTAAAATTGCATAAGTTGGGCGATCTCACGGATTTCAATGATCTTGACATATATTGTCAAGGGCATGTTCATCATTCTGAGCAATAATCCGAAGGTTTTAATCGTTGCTCGTTGTTTATTAAAAAGTTATTAACAAATAAATTTGAAAATATAAATGTATATTTAACTTAATAATTTGAACTTTAATTAGTATAATATCTCAATATATGCATATTTGCACATTTAATTAATACTTTAGGCGGAAAAGATTAATTTTTCTTGGCGCTCGTTGTTTTTTAAAATGTTAAAAACAAGTCATAAGTCATTTTATCTTATACTAAACATATAGATTTGAGTTAAACTTTACGTAGAAAATTGTAAACCCATGTGGAACCTCGCTTCGAGTTAAAAAGTGTGTGCGTAGAAACAGTATGTTCCGCCCCTGCCCCTCTACGGGGGACTCCACTATCAAAAGCCTAATCTAACCCAACTCATATCACAATGTAGATAAATATCATTGTATATCACATCATCATTGTACATATGTCATATTTAACTACCGCCCGTGGGGAGGGGGGGGAGACACACTGTCTTCACGCATATTTTTCAACACGAAACAAGGTTCTACATGGGTTTACAATTTTTCACAATGATACAATTTTTAACTATCATTGTAATACGGGTTGGGTTAGATTAGATCTTTTGATAATGGAACCCCTCCCATAGGAAAAGGGGGGCAGAACACTGGGTGCTTTCCATTTAAGTATCATTTTGTCCTTGTTAATCATTGAAAGCCAAGAAAAATAGAACGATATTTGTGTCGACTTATGTCACTAAATGGAAAGCACTCACTCTCCACGCATACACTTTTTAACACGAAACAAGATTCCATATGGGTTTACAATTTTCTACGCAAAGTTGAACTCAAACGTATACGTTTAGTACAATATGAAACGATTTATGGCTTCAGCATTTATATAAATTATCATATTTTTCAAACTTCTTTTGTTTATAATTTTTTAATAAATATCGAGCGATGGCTAAAATTTTTTGATTGTTACTCAGGATGATGACCTTGACAATATCAAGGGCATTGAAATCCGTGAGGTCGCTCAACTTATGCAGTTTTACCAATAATAGGTTTAAACTATTATCAGGATGCTTCGCAATAAGTAGGAAAAATGATTAATTTCTTTATATATTATTAGTTATTATTGTTACATTATCTGCATTTATGCTTATTTATTAGTTTTTATGTAAATTCCAATTGTTAAGAATTTGTGTATCATAGTTATTTCTCACATAAATGAAAATTATAAAATACTGACAAATGCTTCAATTTATCCTTTTGAATTGTCTTCTGAACACATGTCTGACATACATGCCTTTTAAAACAACACGTTATACCTAGAGCTGAACGCTAATAGAAAATATGTGTCGATATATATATTCATTTAACGTTGAACCCTGTACAAATTGGCTTTAGTTCAGATGGAAAATATAAGATCTCATACCTCGATCGAAATAATTAGTAACAAGTTTCTGTGTAAAGCTTCAATTCTTGTATATTGTGTTTTGAAACTTTGAGTTTTAGCTTAAGTCATTTGATAATCCTTTACTGGAATGCAGGAAAAAATGTTGCATTGGCTTGTTGCTGCTGATTATGTGGTAGAGGTTGCACTGGTGACATATATCCCATTCCTAGTACTACAAGCAATACATAATTTTATCCTTACTTGTATATTTTTGCATATGAAATGAAATAACTATAATAATAGTTGATCAAGAGATAATCTGAATCATAAACAATTAAATTTCAGAATATCACATTATTTCAATTTATGATGAAAATTGATAATTTTATAAAAGCAGGACTTGATAGAAAAGTGATCTTCTTACATTCTTAACAGATTTAAGAAATTACTTACGTCCTATCTTGGTCTGATGTTGTGGACTATTGCTAGCCAATTGGTTCATCGTTGGTGCTGGACCAGTTTGTTTCGTTTTACTACCCATTATATTATCGAGATCAATATTCAATCCCGAGCCAACCCAGGTCGAACCGACCTGTGTAGAAGATGTATTGCTAGATGCTTGATTCCTAATATTGGTGGATGTAGGTGGAAGAAGGTTTGTAACGGATGATAACTCGATCGATCCTAAAGATGATACTAATTTTAGTTTGTAGCATATATTACTTATTATTATTTCATATCTATATATTTCTATATATTTAGTTCTTTATATATCTATATATTTATATATTTAGTTATATATATATATCTATATATTTATATATAGATATATATATAAATATATAGATCTCTATATATCTATATATTTAGTTCTTTTCAAAATTTCAACACAAATTTATATATATAAAATAATTTTAATATTCTATTAAAGTATATAATAATAGAAAGCGGACTTACTTTAATTAATATTAATTCTATATATTATTTAATTTAAAATATTTAAATATATTGCATTAACTTAAATTAAAAATTAATACATTACATACTAAATTATAAGTTATATAAATATGTGTTGAATATTTTATCACATGGAAAAATTAATGTTTTGGATCATTAATAATATACAAGTGTGATGGGTATCAATTAAAATTATAAAATTTGATAATAAAATATTTATATTTTAAACTCGTAGCATATCATTCAGTTTACAACTTTTATGAAGTTACAGGATTTCACGTAATTTTTTGTAATGTAATTTACACAAAAAAAGCAATTTTAAAAGTCAGATTTCGCATGAAAATGTACATACACATAATATTTATACAATATCTAATGATTGTAATATGTAATATAGATATAAAAAATTCTTTCTGATAATAATTGACTGCATATTTTTGTTCTATGCACAATTAAATGCAAAGCTTATAATGAAATTGATGAAGGACAGAATTTTTGCGTTTAAAATCCTGCAATTTGCATCATGTTCACCATTAACGACATTCTGCGATAATAAAAGCCATTCTCTTATTTCCATCAAGGGTTCGGACAGTTCATCGATGACGGCCTCTTTCGGCACCGCAATAAGTACAGATCCGATATTTTCTGTAACGGCTAATCGCACTACCGCTTCGTCGTGATTTCTCATTGTCCACATAAGCTCCAATATTTCTTTACCCATTTTTGTCGCCAGCGGACAATTTTGCGCCGCTAACATTATAGTAGATAATGTTTTCAGGAAACGTAACAATAAAATATTTTCCTGATCTATATAAATCTTTAAGTCTTTAAGTTTATAAGTATCTTGACGGCCAAAGCCATGCAAAAGCGGATAAAAAAATGAAGATGCTACATTTCCAAAGTGATTAATATGTAACTTGGGAGATTTAGAATTATTTGCAAATCGTCTCGTATGCGATGCAATTCTTTTGTCGACAATTCTTTGTTTTATAAATTGAGTCTCTGACGATTCTAGACCGATATCAAAGTCTTCATTACACCATACTTGCTGTTTTCTATTTTCTTCCGTATTGATAAAAAGTGATATACAACTCGGAACTCGGAACTTCTCTTTAATCGCCGTATTTACGGTAACATCGATGTTATCTGCATCATTAATATCGATTTTTGATAACTGTTTGGCAGACTCGGCTAATATATTCAAGAACAATAATCGATGATTCAGTGAATATTTTTCATCCTCGTAGAATTCTTTGCAAAGAAACTCGGCACATTCTTTCGGATGCACAGTTACAATCGCTACACAACATTTGAAAACTATGAGTTCAAAGTTCTCCACATAAGAATGTTGCTTCAATGTAACGAAAAGCTGCAAGAGTTCTATTGCAAAAGATACATCATCGTCCGGCAATTGTGTTAATATTAACTCTTCACAAACTAACAAGGATTCAGAGAAAATTTCGGGATTGGAAAACATTTGTTCATCCGTTAAGTTGTCGCGTAAATCCCGTAGATACATTGGATATACCTTACCGTATGGTTTGTCGTCATTCATATCGTAAGGAATCAAATCATCATCGCTATCCATATCTGAATCTTCGTCGCTATTTTGTTTCACTTGCTCTTTTGCTTCGTTCTTTTTTGTTTGATTATCTCTTATCACATTATTTTTTGGCGGATATGTATTTTTTTCAGTTTTTTCATTTGACAGATTTACGACATTGGGTAAGATATTGCAATCAATACCCAATTCATAAATCTTTCTGCTACTCAAAGAATCGAAAACAATATTTCCAATTATCAAGTCACCGTTTCGCTCATATTGTTCTTTTAAATTTATAGTCGCTTCAAGTGAATTTAGATTTTTTAAAGATTGAAGTAATTTTAATACATGCACAGGCATGTTCTCATATTCAAATTTTAATTTCGGTGCGTTATCAATATCAGATAAAGAATTTATGCAAATTTCGGCGACCATCATACCCATTGCTCTTAAAGTTATATTTGTACATTCGAGATGAATAGATACTCCGGAAAGTAATAGTTTTTGGCATTCATCTCTTTCAGTATGATTTAAAGTAGTTTTACAAGCTTTTACAGAGAGAATAATTAGTTTTGTAATATATTTGAGTTGTTCCATAGATGTGTGATTCAAAATACTCTTATCCCTCCAAATTTCCAAAAGTTTGACTAATAATTCTGATAAAACATTATTTTCGTTCAAAAAACATGACAGGTAGGAAGTCAAGTTTATAATCAGTTTTTCATCCTCATAATAACGCATTAAAGGAATTTTGCTTGTTAAAACATACTTCCAATTTGGTTCTACTAATAAATTTCCGAAGATGGGATGCATACCGAGTTTTGGATTGCAGTGTTTAAGAAACAATACAGCTATGTATTCAATGGCGGCAGAATTCAATTCGCGAAATATATTCTCAACTAAATGTCGCTCGTTCTTTTTATTTTCGAGACAGTACTCTTCTAAAATATCGGCGAAGTACGTAAAATCGATTGGCTTCAAGTTAATTACAATTTTGCTAATTAAAAACGAGAGTGCAGTTGTTTTTGATTTAATATCATATTTGCATAACTCGTTGATAAACGATATGGCGCAAGATATATGAAAACAGAGTATTTTTATATATACTTGTGGCGTATAAGAGTTAGGTATGTTGAATTGCAATTTATTTGATATACGACTGGGCAGGGAGATCAAAATTTGTGTTGTAGCTCGCCAAGTCTGATCGAGTTCTTCTTCCTGTATGTAAGATCGTACTTCATCTTTACATGCGTCCAATATTCCTGAAAATATTGCCTCGCTCTTTAGCAGATTCTCTAATAACATTGAAATAACACGAGTTTTCTTCTCATCTTTGGATTCATTTAATGCGATAGTCAAGGTTCTCAAAGCTTCCGACAATATGAAGACAGTTGCACCATCAACGATTATCAATTTCTCAATCAAGGAATCCAGGCCATTTTCGTTTAGTGGCCAATCACGATTAAATTTATCAATTATTTCTTCTAAAATTCTTCCGTACAGTATGGCATCTACTTTTGCATCGAAATCAAGACCACTATATTTCTGAAGAGTCACAGGTCCTGGTAAAAATCTGATGTAATTTGAAATGCATGATCTCATTCTTTTCAAATCGGTGCAACTTTTAATATCGTACATGGTACACAATACTTCCAATAATTGATTGGCACTATTATTGGAGAGATTCTCAATTGACGCGATGCTCTCTTCGTTTTTACAGGCTGCAAGGAAAGATTAACTTGGGGGAATTAATTTCAAACTCCAGGGATATGTATTTCACACACAGATTTCTTTCACGGAAAAGCATGCAACAACTTAAGATTTTTATATTTATTATAAAATAACTACATATGATTAATAATATTAAACTAGTTTGCAAATATTCCCATGTTAATTTCATCATAAAATGTGTGTACATTATATATTACACAAATATCGTATATGTATGCGTTACATACAATTTTATAAGTACAAGAAAATATTACTGATAAAAGTTTTGATAATCATGTAATTTAAGAAATTAAATTATATTTCTTAATTGTGCACATATACTCACCTGTGTAATTGATGACATTAGTAGGTGTATTATTCTTTCCCATAAAAATGTTCGAATTGTTAGGACTATTTATTCGATTATCAGCTAACCTCATGGCTGGAGTATTCAAACTATCCAAATCTGATAAGAGGTCCGTGTTTGAAGTTACTAAAAGAAATAATAAAAAATTATCTTTTTTTATAAAATTATTAATTACTCTCTAAAATTATTCTATGAAAACTCGCTATCATCCCCGTTAAATTAAACTTCAAAATTTCCATATGCTTATTCCGTATAGCATATAATTTCATACCTGTATTGTTATTTGTAATTTGATTATTGAGACTTTGTGGTGTTAAAGAATCAAATAAATCGTTAGATGTCTTTTGAATAGCAATAGATCCAGCAAATGCTGTTGTGCCTGTTGTTTGCATCGTATTAGCGTACATTGCATTACTATTCGTCATATTATTTGTTATTGGATTATTCATGGTTGATATTGCTGTACTCATCAGATTGATTTGTGATTGCGGCTGATTTGGGGAATTAGATATAGTGACATTATTAAAAGCGGATGTGAAATCGGCAAACTCATCGTTGCTCTCTTTCATCTTAGCTGCTGCAGGGTTATTGAACGCGCTAGTAAAATCGCCAAAATCTATGTTTGTATTTTGTGATTGAGCGAATGACTGAATGTTTGCACGTGGATTAAAATCATCATCATCTAGTTTACTATTATCACTTTGCGATTCGAAAATATCGTTTAATATATCGTTTTTGGTCTTTTGTTGATTCGTCGGTGATGACTGACTATTATTCTGCTGTACTGGTGTATTATTCTGCAAATAAAAGATACACTCCAATTATTTTATAATATTATATCTAACACAATTATTATAATGTATCATAATAATTGTGTAATATTATTGTAATTCTTACAAATTTTATTATATAAATGAACAAAACAAATAAGAAAACGAAATTTATATTTCTTAAACTCACATTAGATTGCTCTTTTCCATAATTTGCCGCTGCTCCAAGATCTACTTTTTTAATAATTCTCGTTCGTGCTGGGGAAGCATTTGCAGAAGATATTTGAGTAGATTTACCAATTTGATTTATATTGTCTAATGTATCTCTATATTCCCTTCCGCCTTTTTTCGGGCTAGTATCATTGTCTGAATCTTCTCTTTCACCATCATCGCTGTAATATAAAAGCATGAAAGTTATATAACGAAACTATTTATTCAAGCTATAGCATATTTTGCTTTAAATGCACATACAATAAGAAATGCAAACATTAAACATGTACCTGTTATTTGCGTCCTCAAATCCTTTCCCACGACTGTCCCAATCATTATATGTTTCTACGCTAGACTTATTCCACTTGGGACTATCCATCCACCTATCACCACCTCCAAATCTCATACCCATCGCTTCGCTCGATAAGCCGACGTACTTATCTTTATTTTTCTTAGCTTTCTTTCTTTCTTCTCTAAGTTTATCATCGTCTTGGATAAAATCAATTAATTCTCTAACCTTATGTCTAATGTTTATTCCTTGATCTTTCCCAAATTCGTCGATATAGGTATAATTTTCTAAAGACCTGAGGTCATAAATGTGCTCGCGTGACGACGTGACGACCCGTTCTGAGCCATTACGAACTAAGTAATTAAGAAGAAGCAGTGACTGTAAAAAAAAATCAAATTAATACAAATTAATAAAATTAAAATAAACTAATAAAATACAGATAGAGAATAAAATGCATTTATATATTCATTTATATATATGTATGCATTTTATTCACTGTTTTATAATATGATAATCCTGCCTTCAATCTTCTGTATAATAAGTTTATTGTTTCTCAGATGCCTTGAGTGTGACGTAATAATTGCAAGGAAAACGATCGTACCTTGTACGTTCGTCGCCAATTTCGTTTATTCTCTTGCAACATCCTTTTCCAGAGCATGGACATTACCTCTGGAAATTGCTCATATGTGAATGTAGCTTGAGCCAGTTCTTGCATCATTGCACCTTAAAAAGTAACGCATTCGGTATAATCAATTTGTACATATTCCCAATATTTAGTAAAATATTTATCGGAGAAGAAGATCGCCAATCATACCTGTGGGACCCCATGCATCGTCATTGGTTGCCTCTCGAACTTTAGCCTCTGTTTCCGTATAATTCATCACGACGTTGGTCCTATAAATGCAGTCATTATAATGTCACAGACGTAGATCATAAAACTATATAGAACTATAAATCATACGTAATCGGATAACTAAATTACGCGTGTAATAATGTCATGTTACACTCGTCACCGAGTATCGATTACACGGTATGGTAATTATTTTCGCAAAAAACACTCGATAATCTTTTAATGTCCATCTAATTCCCGCCGTATGTATACACACGTTGCGGATAACATGCATAAACACACGATGCCGTTTACATCGTAGCCCATATATAAGCTTTTACAGCCAGATCACGCGAAAGAGTTACAATAATGATTTTCCTATTATTAACGTCATACTATCTATGCGGAATAATTAAAAATAGATACAGCAACAGTCTTTCTTTCTTTCTCTCTCTCCCTTTCTCTCTTCCTAGTTTTCCCTCTTTTTTTGTTACCTTAATTTGGTCTGCAAACACATAATGTATACACAAGTGCATGCATTCGTGCAATGACAAAAGTGCATATAGCCGAATGAATTACGTAAATGATTACAGTTTAAAGCTGTTATATAGGCTTGCAAGGCACCTCATATTTATTACGTTGGATCATAACCCGAGATTAATTTATTAAGTTGATTAATTCAAAAGGATAATTACAAATCTAATTTATTGTAATTATTATTTTGAATCCGAGTTTCTTGGTCATTTTTAATCAATGCCGTGTATTAAATAAAATTTATTTAATAATTTATTATAAAAAATATTAAATAAATAATGTTCATTTTCAAAATAATTTATTAATCCTTTTAAAAGATTTTGTAATTATTAGTTCCACATTTTTTTATAGATATTTGTAAATAATAGAAAAAAATAATTTTAAAAAATAATTAATTTTGAAACATTTTCAAATTACTTGTTAAAAACTTTGAAAATAATTTAGGTTTAAAAAAGAGAACATGCATTTAGTAGCTTAGTGTAAAGATATTAATTAAATTTAGACTCTAAGGTTCTAAAATTAAGCATCAAAGATGGATAAAATTCTTTCTTTCATATATAAAACATATGGAAAACGCTGACAGAATATTGTTAACAGACAATTATTGTTAACAGAAGTTTTTATATCATAATCAGTACTTTATACATTTTGTGTTTATCTTCATTAGATTTATTTACAATTTTATTACAATTCTATTTTGTGCAATAAAAATTAGAATATATTTGCATTTAAAATTTTTACCTGCAAAATTAAAAATATGCATTGATAGTCTGTAAATTTTATTAATAATTCTATTGTCAGAAATGTCTAATTATTTTAAATTTGTGTATCTAAGATCATTGCTGATTTTAAGGAATTTAAATACATGCTAAAAATTTAAAAGTTGTTACATTTTCAATATGTGTGTACGTGTATGTCATTTTTTGTTAAACTTGTACAGTCAATACAGTTCTTAAAAACAGCATATAAAATTTTCTAAAAACAAATTCAAAACATTTTTATTGATCTATACGAAAAATTAGATTGTCCTAATATCGAATTGAATTCAAATAAATCAGCAGTGTAGTTTTTAAAAAACACAATTTTCAAACTTTTAGTTTGTATTTAGTTTGTATTTTTAAGGCTCGGTTGGTTGTCTCTCTGCAGCCATATTGAATTATAACGTCAGAGGCGAGAAATGACATGTAAAAAGTTTCTTGCGTCGTATAGTTTTGTCTTGTACTTTTCCCTTAAAAACATGATATTTTCGTATTTTTAAAACTTGTAAAAAACATCAGAAAGTAAGACACAACCTATATCGCGCCGCGAGAGAACCGAGCCTTAAAATCAGAAATGGTTTTAGATACGCAAATTTAAAATAATTAAAGCTTTCCGGTAATTGTTAGTAAGATTTTATAGACTATCTATGCATATTTTCGATTTTGCTATTAAACATTTTAAATGTAAACACATTCTAATCTTTATCATAAAAAGAATAAAAGTATTATAATCTAACAAAGATGAACAAAATATAAAAAGTCGATTATGAAAATGAAAACTTTTATTAATAATCTGATAACTGTATGTAAATAACAATTTTTTAAAATCCTTATCTTTATAAATGTTGATAGAAGTTGCAAAGTCAAAGAATGAAAGAATATGCGCTAGTCAAATACTTTCGTAATTTTAAACGAGTATTCAAGTGCGACCGATAAGAATCGGAATGTCATATCGCTGTCGAATGTATAAACTTGTCTATTGTATCATGTGTGCAAGAAATTAAATGAGATTAAGAGCAAGAAATGGTAAAAAGTACTTATCAGCTCTCTTCTTCTAATTTTTAAAAAACCATTGTTTAAATTTTATTACATATATATTATGAGTAAATTGAAATAAGCTTCAAAGAGATAAAGAAATTTTGAGCCTTTAATCCTAGGATTTTATGAAAATATTTCGCGAGAATAAAAGCGCAAATCTTTGAAATAATAATAGTAAGCTTCTCAAAATTTTTCTATAATTTATAGATTTTAATAAAAGTTCTACTTCTATTAAAATTAGACTTGCAATTCTAATAAAAGATTATGAACGCAGAATATTTTGAAAAGCACGAGAAAAAATTCGCTTTGAAATTGAAAAAATAAATTGATTTGTTGAAACTAGTAAGTACTGACAAAGTAAGGCTATGCGAATCAGAGAACACATGATGGAGGAGGAGGAGGGGGAACTCCGGCCAACCATCATTAATCCACAATTATTTTCGAGATATCCATGATTGTTTTACACGTTGTACCCGTGTACTATCGAATCTCAAGGTCGCGCCATAAAATTATGCTCGCCGTTCCAGTTTTACGACTCTCTCTCTATTTTTTTCTCGCTCATTCTCTAGTCTTGTTAACGAGACGTATCGAAAGCGATTGCATTCTCCTGCGCGACGTAATCGGCCGAGAGATTTTCATCTCTCGTTCCTTCTTGTGATACGAGATTCGGCGCGTCCGTGTGAGACATTCTTAATAAATCTCGACAGAGTGTATATCACAATTTTTTTTTCTTAAACCTTATGCGATCACGCAGGGACTGATTAAAAGTGTTTTGACGGGTGAAGCATGAGAGAATATATCCGGAGAAAAAGACAGAAGCAAGGTTATATCCTGGTTCCGCTATCTCGAGATCAAACTTACGCCTTGTCCATCAGCTCTCGTACTTTCCACATGTTCATCATGTTGCTGCGTTGTCACTGTACGCTGCCTCTCTCGTGTACAATTCTCACTCACGACGTGCGATATCCTTTCGGCAGATTTGCTATCGGCAGCACGTCGCAGAACGTTCGCCAGATGTTTTTCGGAGCATCTGATATCCACGACGGCCGAGCGGAACGTCACCAGGCGGTAGCCATGTTATCCCTTCCACGTTTACGTGCACCTCACCGCGGCACAGGTGTCTCCCGTTGTCCTGTCACAGAACATATACATATACTAAGAGAAATGAAAGTTCTGTATGTAAGATGGGCAACAAAAGATGAGACACTACCATCTGGTGGTGGAATGCGAATTAAAGTAAATTATGAGTTGACGGGTTTCGTCTCATATATACATGTAATCTTTTCAATATCGAAATTTGAAATAGATATTAAGATATAAAATAGGGATGGGCGATTTTTTCAAAAGTATCGATTTTTTTGATCGATTTAGATCGAAAACTTAAAAATCGATTTACCAAAAAATTGATTGTCAAAGAATCGATCCATCAAAGATCGATTTTTTTATCTAATTTTACAAAGGCTGTGTTTCGAAATTCACTACCAGTATTAAAAATCTGTAATATACGTGACCTGAACTACGTGTTTTCAGTACTGGCAGTGAGTATCGAAACGCAGCCTACATGGTATATTTGAAATAAGTACACTTTTTTTATAATGACAATATAACATAATGACAATATTTTGTCGAATACAAAACATCAATATTTGTTTGTTAATATATATTTATTGCTTATTTT